TGGGGCAACCCAAAAACCACTCCGGGGTTGATAGCCTCCCTGCCAGTGACTCTGGTAGTCTTTAAGACACAGAGCCGCACACCTACACTCAAGCACAAAGCAGATCACCCTATTTCATTTTGGTTGTTGGTGGTTTTCAACTGCCAACTCTGTGAAAACCTTTTATAATCATTACTCCTCTTGTCACGTCCTCATTGTGCGTCAGAGAGAAGTTTATGCTTTTCCATTTCCCCTCTCCCTTGCTCAGTGCTGACAGAGACAAGAGCTATTGCAAATATTGTACACAGTCTTCTAAGGAAGATGAATTGCTCCAACTTTGCTTGGCACTCTACCAGTCAGCTGCCTTTCTTGCTTTGTTTCATGAAAATGCTCTCTTATCTATGCAAGCTGATACCTAGATTTTTCAGTGTTGGGTAAGGTTACCTCACTTACTGACCTTGACTATAGAAAAAAAAAAAGCGCCTGTTTGTGGAGAATAACACTCAGGTATTATAACATAACCTACTGTGTAGGAAAAGCCTGATTTGCTGGTCCTGTAGCATCGCCTGATGAAAGCCCTAACCATGTCGTTCAATAGTTAATGCACTCTATCCACAAAAGGTATCATTTATCTTTCAGTTAATCAGAAAGAGAATATATTAGATACTTTAAATAATTAAGGATATTAAAAATGCATTAGCAAATGTTTATCGTTAAGTAAACTGGCAAAAGAAGAGTAGGATATTTTACAGCAGTCTGAAAATAAAGATGTCTCAGGTATCTCCTCTGTCTCCAAGCATGCGTTAAAGATTTATAATTCACTAGATGGAGAAGAGCAGGAGTAGCATCACAGGGGTCAGGCTGACACTACATAACACCCTTGGATCACACATCTATAGTAGCAGGGGAGACTGGCAGAACATCAAGGAGGAAAATACACAGGTGAGGCAGACAAAAGAGAAAGTGAACATGAGGACAAGAGACCAAATGGAAAGAATGAAACATGAAATGAGACATACAAAACAGTGGTGTAAAGACAGGCTACAACTAGAAGAAAATAAAGGGTAATGAGTTAAAATGCAGTGGAGCAGCAGCAGTGAAAACAACAAAGAACCACATTTTTTACCACCAAATTCTTGATTTTAAGGATAGCAGCTGAAAAGCTGTAATGCTTTTTACTCATGGCAAGAAGCAGAAAAGGCAGCAGATCAGACAACCTCCCTAAAAGGCAGAAGCTGTGAGAGAAAGAAGGGTAGCTGGATATTTTTTAATGAAAGAGCCTGAGCAAACTGCATGATAAAGCAGCCAGTAGGTAGACGAGAAAGTTAAATAAGCCATTTTAATTATCCTTTCTTATTGCAGGCTTCCTCACAACACACTGCTCTCATTAAGGAAGGGTTACAATAGTGACATTATCAAGAGTGTTCTCTCATGGAACAACCAGTTTAACCTAATGAACACACAGCTCCCCTAAATAGCTCAGGGAAGCAAGAGGGATTCAACTGTAAGATTCCATAGTGCAGACTAAGGAGAGAAGACTGCAGCAAGCAGATAGCCTGCCAAAGAAGGACATTATGATGATGAAATTTTAAAGCATTTGAAAAATAGGGGCTGTTGCAATAAAGGCTTTGGCTTTTAAGCAGAAAGGACAGAGAAACAAAAAACATCCCAACTATAAAGAAAAGGGACAGAAAAATAAAGCACAGCCCAAATGTTATTCCTGAAAGGCAGTGAAGCGTATTTGCTGATCAGCTTATTTTTTATGAGTTAACACCTGCAGCAGCATTCAAATGCCAACTAATCCCACTCACTGCAGAGCTCCAGCACCCATCAAAGCCTAACGCCGAACGTGCCCAAGTATGGAATAAACCAATCCCAGCACAGACAGTGAGCGATCTGGCATGATACAGAACCAGGCAGTAACAGGGGAGCCTCTTGAGTGGCCTGCAGCAGGACACAACGTGATACCCGGGGAACAGGAATTAACACACCTCCCTCGTCCCACCCGGACAAAGCTGCTCCAAGTGGGAACAGCACTGCTCACCACTTAGAGCTGGGTGCATGCCCCTGGGAAGGTTGTCCCATGTGCTACAGAATATACTGTTGAAAAAATAATAGTTGCAAAATAACTTACATGAACATATTCTGATTAATTGACATCTGTTATAACGTAGGAAGGAAGGGACCCTGTTTAGCAAGGCTGGGTCTTGTTCAATTGGACTGCCCTTCTCCCACCCTCTCATGACTCAGTGGTTGCCAATTATTGCACATACCTGTCTGACAAAAGCCAGTTGCAGTGATAGGTAGAGGATGATTTGGTGATCTTCCGGGGCCAAGTCACGTGCTCTTTAAGGATGACCACACAATACAAAAGGAAAAGTGACTGTTAGATTGTGCTTTGCAGAACTGCTTTGCCACAAATCACACACAAGCACAGAACAAAACTCAGTCCTCTTCTAGAGAAAATTCATCCAGTAATGGGTGAACACACTGAAACTAGACAAAAAGCACATCACTGCTGACCTGGCTAAGCCAGGCTCACAGAACAAATCTGACAAACACAGCTGACAGTATGTTACACAACTTCCATGCTCCTTCATTAAATGCCACTTAATGTTTTGAAACTTTTAAAGTAGCTCTTAGCCAAACAAACCCATCAAACCATTATTTTAGGTAATTTAGGTGAGGGAGATGGTTGTCCTACTTGTTCCTATACTGCCACTTTTAAAACAATAGGAGAGGGTTAGATTAGTGCTGAAAAAGCAGTAATTGTTTCTGCTATTATCATGACTATGAGCGTGTAGAGAATTGAAGACCAGGAGCTCAGGATGGCAGCTGCTGTTCAAACACACAAAACATCCTCCACTCTGCAGCTTCTAGTCTAATTATCAGCAGTAGACTCCTAATTTGGAAAGGGAAGACACTGAGGAAGGAATGAGAACTTGATGGGAGGAGCTGAGCCTGGACCAAAACCAAAGTCCTTACTTCTCAAGCTTGAACCTCTTAGATATCACCTTCTAGTCCACAGCAGGCACCAGCTAGTGAAGGCTGCAGTGTCTCCAGAATCAGATGTGAAGGCTCTTCATACAGGCTTGTTCAAGGCAGGCAACAGGGATGGACAATCAGAGCAGAACTGTCCCTCTCAGACTATGCTAAACATGAAACTGCAGCCTGAGCTTGCTAGCCTGTGGAGAAGCCATTAACCAAGGCAACATGAAAACAGTGTTTTGGGTATCTACCCTAGGAACAACGGGGGGCACAGGCTCATGCCACATCAGCAGCCCAGCCCATGAACCAGTGAATTATCCCCTCACTGATCCACAGAGTTCTGTGGCACAGGGAAGTCATTTCACATAGGAGAGATGGGGAGGAGGAAGGTCCCTCATAGCCAACCAACATTCCCGACCTCTTTCTGGGCTGCATTCCAGGACACCAAGGAAGCCTGCACCTGCATTGCTCTGCCCAAATCAAGCACGATTAACATCCTTATGAGGGAGAAATGAGACTGGCAAGGCTGGTGGCTAAAAATCCTGCCAAAAGTGTTAATTTGCTAATAATAAACAAACAAACAAAAATCAAAATAATTACTTCAGGAAACAATCCACACACTATCTTAATGGCAGCCCCCTCTCAAATGTCATCTTGGCCTATGAGCAAGAAACTGTTGGAGTTGACAATACTAATTAATTTAATATGGACTGAATGTGTCTTGTAACTCTGCAAGTGAAGGATTCTGAAGCAATGCCAAAGGTGTTAAGATGCACTTAGTACAGGCAAGTCACTAATATCTCCTCCACTATAAAAAAATCCCACAAATAAAAAAAATAAATCCAACAAAATCCACACAAACAACCCCCCCCCCCCCCCCCCAACACCAAACCGAAAAACAAAAAAACAGCCCATGAACCAGTGAATTATCCCCTCACTGATCCACAGAGTTCTGTGGCACAGGGAAGTCATTTCACATAGGAGAGATGGGGAGGAGGAAGGTCCCTCATAGCCAACCAACATTCCCGACCTCTTTCTGGGCTGCATTCCAGGACACCAAGGAAGCCTGCACCTGCATTGCTCTGCCCAAATCAAGCACGATTAACATCCTTATGAGGGAGAAATGAGACTGGCAAGGCTGGTGGCTAAAAATCCTGCCAAAAGTGTTAATTTGCTAATAATAAACAAACAAACAAAAATCAAAATAATTACTTCAGGAAACAATCCACACACTATCTTAATGGCAGCCCCCTCTCAAATGTCATCTTGGCCTATGAGCAAGAAACTGTTGGAGTTGACAATACTAATTAATTTAATATGGACTGAATGTGTCTTGTAACTCTGCAAGTGAAGGATTCTGAAGCAATGCCAAAGGTGTTAAGATGCACTTAGTACAGGCAAGTCACTAATATCTCCTCCACTATAAAAAAATCCCACAAATAAAAAAAATAAATCCAACAAAATCCACACAAACAACCCCCCCCCCCACCCAACAACACCAAACTGAAACAAAAAAATCCAGAAATCAACCAACAACAAGAAGACAACACAAGATAGAATCCAGCTTTGGCCTAAACTAGGTGAGCAAGGTGAGCCACCTCTTTAGCAGGCAGCTCCTGTGAAACCTTCCGTAGCCTCTCCAACAATAAATCATGGGGGAAGTTCACATGTGTGGGAGAAGAGCTTCATGGTGCTTTTGGAAATAAACAAAGGGTTGCTACTTTACTGTTAAATTTCCTCAAAGGGTGTAAGAAAAATATTTGATCCAAGCTTCCAGCTGAAAAGGTCACTTGCAAAGACTGGTTAGAGGCCAAACCACAGCCTCAAAGGTCATACTCATACTTTAAAAACAGGTGAAAAACAAATAAGATATAGAAAAAAAAAGAAACCAAACTCAAGCATTTAGGAAGGTTCTAGTAACCAGCTAACAGTCACTGTTGGCTGAAGTTTGAGTACCTAATGTTTGGCTAGAAACTTGTCTGCTTCCTTGCTAGAGCTAAGATACTATGAAAACAAGACACAGCCAGTGGGAAAGGTCAAAGGATAAAAATAAATGGAGTTTCAAAGCACTGCAGGTCCCCAATTACATCAAAGTAGGGCAGTAGTGAAAGTAATACATCGGAGTCCAAAAACTAGTGTGACTTTAAGTATACTCCTGATCTCAAAAGTGACCAAATTAACGGCTTTTAAAAAAATATATTTTTCAGATGTTCATAGGGTAAATACCCAGAACTACTTACTACATGCTGTTGCAACTGCTGCAAAACAGATGTGTTGGACTCCTTGCTCAGCATCAGAAAAACAGCTAAGATCCATTAACATGTTCAACCTGCTACATCTGCACTTTGAGAGACTGAAGAACTCAAATTTTCTTCGTGTTTGTAAGGTATTTATGATCACACCAAACCCAGAATTATGTACTTCACCTCAAGACTTAGATGAAACAAACTTCCATTTAGTTGTCATCCAACATCTGTAAGCATCTGCATTTACAATGTTAAATGCCCAAACACCATTTAGTGTATTTTGGATGGTGTAATTTAGTTGTTACAGGATCAGGAAGCTCACATCTCATCTCTCCACCACAACAGTACTGACAAAAAATGGGTTTTAACCCAAGCAGTTCTGTAGTTCCAGAGGAGTTTAATTCACAGATACTTTCAAGGCAGAGCCATTGGATCAGACTACCCCACAAAACAAGAGTGGTGAAGCACAGCTGAGTGGTAACTACTCTGTACCACTAGCCCTTTTTTCATACAACAGCTCATGTAAACACTCATTAGGACAGCAATTATTCCTCCCCTATGCCCTTGGTAAGTGCACCAATGATAGGTCACCTCATAGTAGCCTAAAGCCTGGTGGTGAAGGTACTTTCCCACCATGAGGGAAAGTGGAGTTGAAGCCTGCTTCACGCAGGAATGGAGACAAAACCAGCTTTCCACATTTGCCTGCTGGCATCATGTGAGGAAGCTGTATCTTCCAGCACTGTAGATCACACTGCAGCTAATCTGGGGTTAGGGTTATTTCTGTTTAATGGCAGAACAGGTACTCTTACCTTGGATATTCAAGCAAATCATCACTGCAGTTAGCCATCACAGGTATGGTTTTGACATGACTACTGCTGAAATCTACTGAACTGTTTTAAAACTTCCATGCAAGGAAGCCATACACAGAAGATAAAACTATTAAAAACACAATTATCCTGAATTAATCCAAAGAAATACACAATGAAAGAATCTGCAAACTACTCACCTCTCCAAAGTCTGAAGTGCTTTCCTGTTTAATTCATCCTGAGTGCCCTTCAGAGTAGCTGTAGGAGAAGATACAATGCCATTTAAGAGTTGAAGTCAATGTTTCAGATTAAATAAACAGTTACACATGCACAGAATATTTCAAACTAGGTGCATAAATACTGTGGAAATCTGGTGCTGCAAGTGTTCACACCTAGAAAATGTGCCATTTTGTTTTTAAAGAGCACAAAAGCACTATTTTAAACTGAATTGTCAATTTAATTTTTCTTAAAGACTCTTCTGAATCCCTTGTCTGAAATGCCAAAGTATTTTTTATTTATATATGCCACTGAAGGGATCTGGAAGGAAAAGGGGACTAGGCTAAATAGATACTAAGAGTATAACAGGCCTTCTGCCAGGTTGGTGTATATGCTAAAAGCAGCAACTCGAGAATTTTCTGACTCAGATACAGGCTGTTTCCACCACCATCTTGATGTAGGAGGGTGTTGCAGGTTGAACAGGGAACACTAGGAGCCAAATTTTCAGCTCTATGACAAATCCCCTGACAACACACAACATCCCTTAAGACCACAACAGACTTTTAGGCTACTTCAAGTGTGGCATTTGCCACTAATGCTCTCTGTGGTGCTTGACTGAAGGATCCTGCCCACTATGCTCACTTCTCCACGTGCGAAATAATCCCTAGCCAAAACCACAACAGGAGAAGAATCAAGTCCCTCTTATGCCAGGATATCATAAAATACCATCATCAAGAGCAAAGGGAATGGAGGAAGGGCTTGGAGAAGCATGGCTTTCTCAGATCCAAAATATCTGGAAAGCTAGCAATAGTTTTCAGAAGTTCATTGTCTGGCTTGTTCTGGTCCTTGGTTTTCAGATTTTGCATAGCAGTTGTTTCATTTTCTGCCTATCCTGAATTTGAGAGCTGCTGATCAACAGCACAAAGAAGTGTTGAGTAGAATCCATCAGCAAACATCCACCTATAATATATTTGACTTCATACATCATATGTCAGTGTAAGCTCCAGAAGAGAAAGTAGTAGAACAGCAACTAGTATATACTTAAGCAACAAACCCAGATTTAAAAAAAGTGTCCTTAGAGGTTATTAAGAGGAAGGAGTTGTGTTCCTCTACAAGATGTACAAAGGTAACCACTTCCTTTGGATTCTGCAACACTCTAGTAAGTGAAACTTCGGAAGTAATTTATTTTGCCAAAGCAGTTACAGTGATCAGATCTTTTTTATTTCTGTATCTTTCAGCAGCTCTTCAAAACAACAGGTTCATTTGGGAGGAACAGGAATCTTCAGAATTTCTAAAATCATTTAGATCACAAAAAATGGCTTATTCCACAAAATCTACTCTAAGTAGTCAAAACTGAACAAAAAATTCTAGTTTAAAGAATAAATTTTAAGACATAGGCTTTCATGCAAAATGCAGCATTTATTAGAAGTAGCTGTAAATACTTGGAATAGCCTTAAATTGAGTATTGAGATCCACTGCCAAATATTGGAAAAGGGTAATAGAGGAAGAAAATGTACAGAAAAAAATTAAGAGTGAAGATCAATGTGAACACAAAAATGCTTAAAGAGACACTGGAAAGGATATGATCATAGTTATAAACCTTCATCCAGAAAAATACGTCAGATTCTGTTTCTCAAGGAAACTACAAGACTCCTCACTTAAGTTACATTGCAGTTCTGAAGATGCCACACAATGAGGAAGACTGTAAGAAATTTTACTGTTTGCCCTCAAAATAAACTCCAGTGGAAAAGCTAGGATAACTTCTAAGTTCCACCTGGTAAGACATTTGACTGGTGTTCAGTTTGTAGTCAGAAAGAGTACAAAATATGTCAGGGCAATGAAGTAAGTATTCTACAGGTAGCCAGCTTTGTTTCTGCACTACTGGGAAATAGCATGAGTCCTAATAAGCAATATCTACATTCTTATTTAACATTAATCTGTGCTATCAGTATACAGACTTCTTATAAAATCAACAAGGACCTATAAAAACAGTTTTGAATGCAGTCCCTGATCTGTGGCTGTACACTAAAATTCTTAATGGAAACAAGGATAGAGCACACACTTTTATCTCTGAAACAGTGAGGGTCTGTTAAATCTACATAGATTTCACAGGATATGCGGTGGTGATGTTAGAGCTCTTGTATTTCACAACACACTCTCAAACTGGTCTTTCCTCTTGGCATCTGTTAATGCCATCTCACCTTCCCCTGTCTTCAATGGATTCTTCACCAGACCTAAGGGAGCCAAAGCTGACAACATAGTTTATGTCAAAACTGCAATTACAAGAGGAAGAGAAAGGTTTGTTGTCGACATTCACTCACTAGGGAACAGATCTGCACAAAACTGAGCAGAACAATAGATGGTCATTCTCTACAAACAGGAGATTTGTGCTTCTAAGAGTGAGGCAAAAGTGGCAATGACTTCCTCTGAGGACACATCTTTCAGCTACTTCAGTGAAACTTATTTCAAGAAACATGTAATTAGACATTAAGAACAAGCTACACAAACTGCTACACAGCATCAGTTTCAGGAAGTCTTATTTCATCCAGGAATAAATCTAATAGTTGTAAAGCGACTTTTTATCAAATGTTTCACAAGTTA